TGTTAAAATGAACCTACTGGGAAAGATTTTCTATTTTTATTCCTGTTCAATCCAGTGAAGAAGAACTTGGTATGACTCAAAGGTTTTTACGTAGTAATAACTGTGCCATGGAATGTTCTTTCCTGCCTATTGGTATCTAGATCTCTCTGCGTATCTCAAAATCCACATAAATATATTAAGTAACTGTTTGCATCAGTAGCAGTTGTCCTGAAAGGCTGGTGATCTGGGTGCTAAAAGCTTAGTTAAATATATGCCCTTTATGGTGGATTGCATGATTTTTAATTGTTATTTTAAAGGTAACTACTGCTGTAAACTTTCTTTTGCTTACTTCAGTAGAGGATTGGTAAAAATGATGTAGCAGACAGTCTATTTTATAATACTATTATGGCCAGAATACCAAGAATTTGTCACTTCAAATTTGGCAACCTTTGGGAGCTCCTTTCAACTGGTAGGGAGCAGCAGCTTGGCACTGCAAAGAAATTGAACCTGGAGGCAAGGAAGACTGCTTGTGCTTCACAGTTAAAGAACCATCCCACTGTGCTCCATTTGATTACTACGACATTAACTTATTTTCTTGTTGCTGCTCAGACCTGGCTGAAATACTTTTAGCTAAGGTAAAAATTCAGTATGGATGCAAGACGCAAGATGGACTGCAAGACACAAAACACGGCTGTGTTTTCCAAAATGGGTTTTAGGACATCTCTGTTTTGTACTTGCTGATGATTGCTTAGAGATAATGTGTCATGTTTATTAAACAGAATGGTGAAAGAGAAAGACAGGAAATATATTACTCAGGCTTTTTGGCAGATCAGATAAATAGCAGGAAGAAAGTGTCCTTGCCTACTTCCTTCTGTCCAGGCATTATTCTTTTTGGCTTGACAGTCAGCCAGTAATGATGGAGAGCTCATTTCTTTGCTGCTTCATCTCTGTTACTTTCTTTTTCTCTGAGGTAGGGGCAAGTATGCTTTGCAGGTACTGTGCTATGATTTCCCTGTCACTCCTCCAGAAGAAAGAAGAACTGCTAAAATGCAAAATTCAAAGTTGATGGCAAGCAAACAGATTTTTTTTTTCGGTTACAGATTATAATCATCTTTCACAATATCTAATGTGGCATTACCTGCCTTGAAAGGAAAAGTGTAATTCTCTTTTCACACCGGTTTGGAAAGTGTTCTTTGGAACACCGTGATCCATCAAGAAGACTAGTGTGTGAATACAGCTGCTAATCAAATAGTAAAGAGCTATACGTCCTTTCTGTGGTCCAAAGCATTCTGCTCAGCTTTCCTCGCAGTCCTGGCTTTATGAGGAAATGCTCTGGGACTGTGATGGTGGCTGAAGTGTATGTTTTGATCTTGCTGCCCGTGTGCATCATGCTTCCCCTCTTGCAAGGTTTATGTCTGTAAAAAGAATCTCTTGCATCCCTGCTCAGTGCTAGTAGGCTGGATGTGCAGTGTGAGATCAATTTGCTGCTTTTCATAGCCAAACCGTTTTGCAAACTGTTCCTTGCTGGTGAGTTTGCCACAAGTCTTTTCTAGTTCCAGTGCCTCTTTCAGTCACTTTTGATTCTGCAGTTGCAAAAAATATCTTGAAATGTTCTACCTGAATGTTGGGGTGGGGGATGTATAGACAATGATAATATTTTTAAACTTTTACCTTGCTGTTATTTTTAAGGGAATAGCACCAAAAATAGAGTTTTCCACAAGAACAACCATTACAGAGCTTCCACTTCAGTGCAGAGGGAAGAATTACGTAAGTAGTTATAGTAAGGATTCAGGCCTGGTTAAATTTGACTAGCCTTTGATAGAATCTGCTTGTTGCACCGTTGTATCCTTTGACACCTTTGTATCTAGTCTTCTTACACAGCAATGGCAATATGACAGGGGCCATGACAGGGGTCCTAGATTGTGTCATAGCAATAGCAAATCTGATTGACTGTGAACCAAAGCCACCCCTCTCTTAGTTTGTCATTTGCTATTGAAATTGCTCTTATATCCTAATTATTGTGTCATGGCAGCACAGTAACTCATTCCGGGGAATGCCAACAGAAACAAATAGACCTTGACTTGTTTTCTAAAAAAGGTAGCATTTTGGCAGATAATGATCTCTTGATATGATGGTTTGTGTCTAGGTTTTACACATGTTTCTCTTTGCATGGTTTTGCTTAGTGAATACGTGTTTTTCTCCTTTACTTACAGCCTCTGATCTAGACTGAACTGCAACCAGTTAGTCCTCCTCTGAGACAGTGCTATCAGTTCTTGCTGTGTTTTCTTTAGTGTCTATCTGTCTAGTAGGTTATCTGTTATCGATGAGGACAGAATTCTGCCCTCTGTGCTGGAACAAAACACTCACAGGAGGTGAAGCTCTTCTGTTTCAGTAATTGCTGCTGAATTTGGTTCACATAATATGACTGTTGACCTGAGATCCTTACAGGGTTCACCTGAATAAGCTCCTGCAGAAGTCAGGATTGCAAGATTTTAACCAAAGTTCTCAAAAAATGCATTTGCAAACTTAGAAAATTGAGGAAATACCAACCCTTTTCTGGGTTCAGTGGAGGTCAGTGCAGAATATTTCAGGGTTGAGCCCTAGAACAGAAGTTATACAACAGAGAGAAAATGGAGAGAGATGGGATGTATGCGTCTATGCTAACTTCCTTTTGTTTTGACTTTAACATGTTCTGACAGAATCACAGATTCTTCCATTTTAGTTTGTATGTACAAAGATCTAAATTCTGCCCTCACATGGTCAGTAGGTCATTGAATTAAGTTCTGGTTAGAGCTTACCGTTTTCTTTGCAGGGAGGTTGCAAATGACTTGTACCTGTTTTTACTCAGATATTGTGCAACGTTTAATTTGTCTGCCAGGCTGAAAACAGAACAAGGAATCAAAGATCTGCGTCTGCATCGCCCAAACGAAGGAGCAGGTCATTAACACAATGCAAGACATCAATGAAAAGGGATAAGATCTACAAAAGGCATACAAGGTCATTAAAATCAAAGGCTCCTTCTCCAAACACTAGAAACCACTTATGTGAACTTTCCAGAGAGAACCAGCAGCAGCTGTGCAGACTGAGCCGGGAGTCTGCTGAGTGCAAATCAGAAAATGAGAACAGGCCACCATTTGTAGTCAGACATGTAAGTCCTAAAATTGCTGGGAGAATTTTTGTTAGGATAATAATAGTATTAATTTTTTTCTATCCCATCTTTTTCTATCCCATTTTTGTTCATCCCATCTTGGGGTACTTGGAAAAAGAGAAGCCTGAAGAAATTTAGTAGCAGCAAACTGGAAAATATAAGCTGAAATTCTTTTTTGTTCAGTATGTAATTGGCCTGTTGAACTCTGTAACACCTAATGGGAATCAGGACAGTGAGTTAACAACATTCAGGAAAGGAAAGACATATTAACAATGAAGGATTCAAAGATACATTTAGATAAGATAAAAATATAATAAATTTTCCCTCCCCGCTTTGCTGTAGGACAGAAACTGATTAGTGCTTTTCTGTAGTTAGTAAGATATCCGTGGACAGTTACTTTCATATTTTTGAGAGATTCCATGTGCCTCCTTCTGAAACTCTGGGGTTGACTGGACTGTGCTTATTGACAGACCAGTCAATCTGTGACGGTGATTGTCAATCCCCTTGATTCTACTTTGACCCATCAAAGTCCTCTGTTAGTCACTTAAGTCAGTGGAAGTGTTTCTTGGGTTTCATCAAGCCTTACACTGGGCCACTAGGGTGTCTCATCTGAATGTTTTGAAGTACTGTCAGTTTATTGTGACGATATTCACCTGGCTATTTGGTTGAGAAAGAGGGAGGGAGGTTCTCAGGTGATCAGTACTTCCAAGCTAACGTGATAGCTATCTAAAACTTTTCACAAATATTTTATTTTAATCTGTAGCAGGCTACATTTCTTAAATTTGGCCTTGCATGAGATTCATAAAGTCATTTAGCTTGAAATGGACCTCTGGAGGTCATCTAGTCCAACCCCTCTTCGAAGCGGGTCTAGTTAGATTAAGCTGCTCAGGACCTTGGGCCGTTATGTTTTTGCATATTTCTGAGGATGGAGATTTCACAGTTTCTGTGGGCACCTGTTTGACCACCCCTATGAAAAAAATAGTCCTTGTGTTGAACTGGAACTTGAGCTGTTGCTTCTTGTTCCATTGTGCTTCTCTGAGAAGACTCTGCCTCTATCTTTCCTACATCTTTCCGTTAGTTGTAGACAGCATTAAGGTCTCCCTTCAACCTTCCCCTTTAAGGCTGAATTAATCCAGTCTTCTTAGGGTCTTCTTGTATGTTACATGTTTCAGCACCCTGATCATTCTGGTGTATTTCTGCTGGACTGTCTTGTATGCCTATGTGTGTCTTATACTGGGCAGCCTGAAACTTGACACAGCACTCAGGATGTGGTATCACAAGTGCTAAATAAAGGGGAAGGATCACCTCTCTTGACCCGCTGGCTCCAGTTTTACTAATACAGCCTAGGATGTGGCTGGGGCTTTTTGCTGCAAAGGTACGTTGTTGGCCCGGTTGTCCACCAGGACCCCAAGGTTTTTTCCACAGAGTTGTTTTTGAGCTAGTTGACAGCTGCGTGGCCTTATTCCATTCCGTGATAGGATGTGGCTGGGCTTCTTTGCTGCAAAGGTACGTTGTTGGCCCGGTTGTCCACCAGGACCCCAAGGTTTTTTCCACAGAGTTGTTTTTGAGCTAGTTGACAGCTGCGTGGCCTTATTCCATTCCGTGATGCAGGACTTTGTGTTTACCTTTGTTGAACACCATAGCATTTCTGTCAGCCCGTTTGCCCAGTGTTTTGAGATACCTTTGAACAGAAGCCTTGGCCTCTTGGCATATCAAACGCTCCACCCAATTTGGTGTAGTCTGGGAACTTAATGGAAGTACTCTTTGCGCCATCATCTAGGTGATTAATAAAGATGTTAAACGTTATTTGTTCTTTATTGACACCTCTAGTAATTGGCCAGCAGTTGACTTTGAACCGCTGATCACAACCCTTTGATCCTGGTGGTCCAACCAACTTTCCACATGCCCATTTATCCTGTCCATATCGCACCGATTTGGGCATAAGGATGCTACAGACCCTGCCAAAGGCTTACTGAAGCCAAGGTAAACGGCATCTACTGATCTCTCAAAGATCCATTGGGTTATCTCATCGTAGAAGGATACCAGGGTAATAAAATGCAATTTGCTCTTGGTAGATCCATGTTCACTCTTCCTAATTGCCTTCTAGTTCTTTGTATGTTTAGACATGGCCTTTAGGAAGATTTGCTCCATAAACTTTCCAAGGACTGAGGTTAAGTGACTGATCTGTAATTCCTTGAATCCTCTTTCTTGCGTTTCTTGAAGATAGGTATGATGTTTGCATTTTTCCTATAGGACTCTTCCCCAAGTTGCCTTGGCCTTTCAAAGACAACGGGGAACTGCCGTGCAAATGACATCAACCAGTTCCCTAAGCACCCTCAGAAGTATGCCATCCAGACCCAATCTACTTTTGAATAACCAGTGTGCTTAAGCGAGCCCTAACTGTATTTTCCTCTACTGTGGGTACTGCTTTGCTTCCCTAGAGCCTGCTAATAGGCTCAGGGACCTGAGAGGCCTGAGAGCAGACCTTATAATGAAAAATGAGGCAGAGAAGGCATTAAGTATCTCAGCCTTTTCAGTGTCCTTCGTCATGGTCCTCCTCCCCATTGAGCAGCAGGCCCATATTTTCCTTAGCCTCAAGTTTACTAGTGGTATATTCACAGAATGTTGCCCTTCACATCTCTTGCTATGTTTAACTCCAGATAAGCTTTGACTTGCAGGCCATCCTTGCAGGCTTAGGCAGTGTCTCCTGTACTCCTCCCAGCCTCGTTTCCTCCATCTGTATACTTAGTTTTCATGTTTAAACTCAGTCAGAAGTTCCCTAGTCATCCATGCTGACAAGCGCAGGTTCCTTCTGCGCAGCTTCTTATATAACATGCTGTTATGTACTGTTCTCATTTCAGTTTCCAAAAGCTCTAGCCTGCATCTGGCATTAAACTGCTGTGCAGTCAAGGAAACACTACCAGTCATTTGGGGGTGTTTACATTTTAGCGTGGAAAGTAGAGAAAATGCAGTGACTGGCAGCAAGACCAGTCAGTGTGGCGTTAGAGGGCTATCTGTCTATTGATCTAACCAGTTATTGGAGTGGCGAAATGAAAGAACCCTATTGGTAGGAATGAAGTCAGCAGGATTTGCAAGCCTAGGACAAGCTTCTCTGAGGAAGAATCTGCCTTTCACAATAAGCAGCAGCTCTAACTTACAAAAGAAGACATCATCTTTTGGAATTATTGGTCCTGCAGATAGCTGAGGACCAGTGCAAGAGATGAAGAGTAGAAAGTTTCTAATTTCCAGAAATAATTTACCGCTTTATGTTCCTACAACTTGTGTATGTTTCTTGCTGTACGTTTTGTCCTGGAACTTTCTGTTCTGTGGGAAGTCTCTAATTTTGAAATTAAATCAAAAAACAGAGCAAACTATGTTTTCAGAGGAGGTTATTTTGCAAAAATGCTTGCATTGTGGCTATGCGCATTTCTCCACTGGTGTGTGTTTTTGCACTTTTAAGGGAAAAAAGAGAATAGAAGAGGGAGGAAGAACGAGTTTATTATTTTCAGTAAAGGCTGGACATGTGTGTCCTTAGGCTTAGTTTTTATAGGTTAAGAAGTGCATCTTCTATTATTTCTTCATTTTTAGGTGGACAGTTCCAAATCATTCAGTGAAGTAACCGCACCGTTGTCTTACTGTAATGTGAAGAAAAGTGCAAGATCAGGAAGAGATTCTCTTAAATTTCATGTGAAACGAGGTACCTATAATTTGATATCGGCAATAATGAGATGTTGCTAATACTGCCATTGATATTACCATGTATCTCAAAGAAAACTTTTTACAAAATACATGTCCAATTTTGCTGTTTGTAGTTCAGAAGAACTGATCACAAAAGGAAGTGCTGCTCAGGATGAACAGGTGGCAAAACCTGAAAAAGGTGGTAGAACGTAGGCCAAATAGAAAGAAGTTCCAGGAAGTGATTTCTCCCTTGCTGAGTAGTATACCCCTGTAAAGAAAATTGATCTTGAATTCAGTTCAGGAAAAGGGATCTTGATATCTTTGTTCTTCACTGTCTGACTTTGTTTTGCTTTCTTCAGCTAGATGTTGCTTCAGTAAGGAGTTCTTTAAAGGTCCTCATCCAAAGTCCATTCACATGAATAGCAATATTTAAGGGGCTTTGGATGAATACCTTTGTCAGTATGAAGTTATCAATTTTTAGGCATCATCTGTTCTGCCCCTTGTCATATGCGAAATAGTCATAATCTAATCTGCATATTGGGAATGGCAATAGAGCCATACAGTGCAAGAAAATCTGTGTATTTCTCTTCTGGAAAGTAACTTGGTACAAAGATATCCTTCTTACGCATCTGTATTTCTTTAGAGTACCCAGAATGTTAAGAGGTATTACCTAATGGAGGTGTAGTGTAGCTGGGGTAGTTTCTCCAAATCAAAATGCTGTAATACAGGTACATAATGTAATTGAAATTGATAAAGAGCATCCTTGTAAGAAACATTTTATGTAATTTCATTTTTTCTTCAGTGCTAATGTACTGAAAGTCAAAGTACCAATGTAAAATTAATTGCTAGTAATATAATTGAAATTTTTTTTTTTTTTTTTTTTAGCTTTAACTTTTGATAACTGTGAAACATCAAATACCTCAGTTAAGGTAATTTTAAAATAACAAGTGGAAACTTCCATCTCTTCTGTTACTAGCTTAGTCTATGTATTCTAAAGAAAGAATTCCATGAGGAGATTTGATGGTTCAGAAGATGGTAATGGGTAAGGCTAATTATTTGTCATGGAGGAAATGTGAAAGATATCATAATTTGACTCTGGGAAAATGGAAGCCCTGTAGAATTATGCAATCTTACATATATTAAAAAAACTTAAATTCACATTATTTTCACCAAAAATCCTTTATTTTGCAAAAATTATAGGACTAGTCTATGTGAAAGTTTCCCTTCCCAACTGTACTGGACATCTACAGCCCAAATTTTAGTAAAACCTGTAGAGAAGTCTAACTTATTAGTGGTTTAGGACTAGGTCAAAATAGAGAAGAACAAAGGGCTTTTTGCCAATGCCTGCATTCACTCAGAGGTATATCAAATAAAGACATATCTGTGCTAGCCTAACTTATTTGACCATGAACAGCAGCAAAACTAATGTAATATGGCCCTGAATGGGAGTTCCTTGTGCAAATGCAACCTCTGGTCCAGGATTCCCTGCACAGCTGCTAATGAAAGTCACTGCTAGCAAACTAAAACATGAATTACCTTGAAACCAGTTCAGCATTTTGTCATATGTTGCATTAATACATCTGATTAAACTACAACTATACCCCAGAGGTTGTAGCTGTGAGAAATATACAGAGGTTTTCTACAGAGAAGCTGTAGTGAGGACAGATCATTATAGCAGTATGATAAATGGTTGCTTCCCTCTTAGTCATCATTTCAAATCTACCTTACATTAGCAGTAGCTGAAAGTAGTATCTCTCAGCTATTTGGAGAGGACTCTATGAAAATGGAGAGCAACCACTGTTTGTATAAAGGTTCTTATAAAAATCTCTGCCTGAGCTTTGACTCGCTTCCTCCCCAGCAATATCAGTAAATACCAAAAAATGATCAGAGATAGAATTGTCTCACCTGACTCTGATCTCTGCTGAAATGAATTGGGACGCATTGAAAGGACAGATTTGGGAAGTTTGCCTTCTGACTGATACTGTAATACAAAGAAAATGTTTGTTCTTCATCAGTACTAAACCAAATTTAAAGTATTTAAGGAGCATACAGTCCTGATGAAAGGTACAGGAGAAAGAAGACAGATGGAGCCATTGCTCTACATCTGCAGGTACAGCCCTTTGTTGGAAGGTTTCCTGTACTGTTCATCTTTGTTGAGTAATGCCCAACCAAAATGCCAAACTTGTGGCAGAAAAGGTTGTTTATTCTTCATATCTTCATGTCCGTTATTCTTAGCCATTCTCTCTGCCCATCGTTCACTGACTATCCTCTACGTTCAGTCACACCCTAGCATTTGTAGCAAGGGACTGGCAGAGCCAGATATAATGGTATTTCACCTAGTTTCAAAGTCTGTTCATTAATGAATGAATTGGGATCAGCAGTCGTGTCACGAAGAACATCTAATGGACAACAGTGAAGTAGGAATCATCTAAGCTAACTGCATCCAAAAAAGTTTTGACATCTAGTCTAAGCTAGTCGTCTGAGCTCTTTCAATATGCAGTGGAAAGCTGATGATTCATTCTCTTATAAAATCATCATCCAAGGTAACTGGGGTGTATCATATCTTAGCAGTTCTGAACTCCTTTAGTTGACTAAAGATGATGACTAGTCAGAACTGGATGCCAAACTTGTAGATGGCCAGTGTTAGGTAAGATGAAAGGCATTTGACATCATAACTGCTGTAAATATTGTCAAAGGAGACGGATTAATTTTGAAGGGAAGCGTATCACATCTCATCAGCTGTTCTAGACACTACTTCATGTCTAGAACTACTGTCTCTCTCTGACTAAAGGGTCCTTGAAGAACAGATATGTATGTGTGATGAAAGGCAGATGTACAAAAGTAGTTATGGGAGACACTTTTTCAGACCTTATTTAATGTTGCTGTGTTCCTCTCAGTTATGCTACTAATGATGTCTGATATCCTACGGTGAGATCACTCTTTGAATATCTCCCTTCAATCCACTGATCCAAACTGATTTCATCACTGAGTGGGCTGCTAATATGTTTATTTTTCACTGTTTAGTCACAATCTGCTTGAACTCCCATCTGACAAACATGAAAGTGCAGGTTTTGTAAAGACTCCTCTCAAGGCCCTTCTGTGTGATACATCTTTATTGACTCCCTCCCATTTCTAGGGTCAGCCTGACTATTTGAGAGGGCTGCTTATTAGCCTAATGCAGCAAAATAAAGCTTTCATACATGATGACAAGAGCAGCTTGTTCGTCTCTCCTGTAGCTTTTTACCCCTTTACAAATTAGATGATTCCCAGCTAAAATAAAGAGTTCGATTAGGTTTTGTCAGCCACTCCTCAGCATGAAGGATTCGGATAATTTTTGTAAATATGGTCACACTATTAAGGGCTTTCATTTCATGTGCCCAACAGTAGGTCTGCCTAAGTTTTGTAAGTCTGGCATTATGAATTTTTAGCTTAAACCTGATATTTCCCTTATTCTTCATTTCCGTAAAATGGATGATGACGTCTACGTTCCTTTCTCTCCTCAGTCTCTTTCTCTCCCTCTTTTCCTATGTTAAATTTCAATTAAATTTCAATTCTAGCTATTGAAATTTGCTTTCTTATTCCCCAGATTATCAGGGAACCAGCTGAACAGGCTACTTCTGAACATGATTCATCATCTCTTGAAACAGATGAACTTTTCAGTTACCCACAGTGTTCTTCCAGTTGGAGGCATTCAGCTTTTCACCATGCAGCTTCATCTGCTACCTCCCAACACCAGAAGTCACTGCGTCCTGTTCAAAGTCCTTCTCCTCTTCAATACAGGTTACTAATTCATAATCAAAGTCAGTTACTTTAACAGCATTGCGCTGGGAAAGCACAAGTTGAATGACCAGAAAAATTCACATTCTGTCTTCTTCAGCAAATTGAATTTATGATTCTCAGAAAAATGTGAGTAGAAAAATTGTGGCAGTTAGTCAGGAAGTGATTACATTGCACCTCTGCCTGAGCTGGACTACCCTTCCCATCAATTTGTGTGGGAAGCACGCGATGCCTTCTGTTCATGCGTGCTAGCTCAGATAAGGAAGTTTTTGTGGGATGAGCATATAGGGTCAAGATTAGTTTCTTAGCAAGTACGAGCTAGGTGTTGGGAGGGGGATTCCCCAGCTCCCAACACAGGAATGTGTAGCATCTGTCCTGTGCTCTGCTTTGGCCCAAGCTCTCGAGTCACACACAGACACAAAGACTCACTCTGAGCAATCAAATAAAAAGACATGACTGGCCTTCAGCTTTGGGGAGGAAAAGTAGGTAGACTTCCACTTCTGCACAGAATCACCTTCTTCTCATGTAATTAGGGCAACTCAACTTTCCTGTTTCTTCATTGCGTGTTTGGAGTTCAGTGTGCAGTGGGATGCTGCGGGATGCAAGCTTACACCAATTCCTCTGAACGGGGACTTGGGTTATTAAGT